ACTGGAGGGCACTGGGATGGACTGGAGGGACTGGAAGGCACTGGAGGGCACTGGGAGGGACTGGGAGGCCCTGGGCTGTACTGGGAGGGCCTGTGCTGTCCTGGCCCCCCCTGACCGTGTGTCCCCCCCCCAGCGCCGGGGGAAGCCGGTGGGGAACCCGTGTCCCATCTGCCGGGACCGGAACCTGCTCGTGGATTTCCGGGTCAGTCCCTCTCCCTCCCGCCCCTTTGCCCTCTTTTTTAGCCCCTTTGCCCTCTTTTTTTTTTTTTCCCCTTTTCCTCAATTTTTCCCCCCTTTTTTTCCTCCCCCAGAACGTGAAGCTCCTGGATCAGTTTATTTGCCCCCACTCGGGGGTTGTTTTCCACCCCACACACACCGGTGAGGGGAACTGGGAGGCACTGGGAGGGCACTGGGGGGTACTGGGAGGAACTGGGGGAGTACTGGGAGGGACTGGGGGGTTCGTGACCGTGTCCCCCCCTTTCCCCCAGGGGTCTGCATGAGGCAGCACAAGCTCCTGTCCAAGGCCATCGCCCAGGCCCAGGATCACGGTGAGAGCCCTCAGGGGGGCCCAGGGTGGGCTCAGCACCCCCGGGTGCCCCCTCAGACCCCCTCACTGCCCCCTGCCCACCTCCCAAACCCCCCCCCAGGGCTGCTGTGGCTGCAGGTCCCCTACGTCCCCGTGCCCCGAGAGGACTTTAACAACCGGCACCCTGCGGTGGGAAAGACGCCCCCGGCGCCGGCGCTGAGGGAAGCGGGCGGGTTCTGGTACAGCTGGTACGAGCGGCGCCCGCCGCCCCCCGCCGAGATCGCGCGGATGCGCCGCCTCTACCGCGGCTTCCTCAAGGGGGAGGAGGCCCCGCCGGCCGCCCCGGGGGCACCCCCGGAGGCCCCTCAGAGCCCCGCCGGGGAGAAACGGGCGGAATAAAGCGGTTAAAAACCCCTCAAATGGGTGTTTGTGGTGCGAGGGGGCAAAATGGCGGGGGGGGTTTCAAAATGGCGGCTGGGGCGTGAGGGGAGTGTATCCCACGATGCCTTGCGGGGAGGGGGAGACGCCTCCCGCCACTTCGCTGCCGCGCGGGAAACCGGTTGCTAAGGGAGGGCGGGGCCTCGTTGCTAAGGGCGGGGAAGGAGCAGTAGCGATTGGCTGAGCGGTTGCCAGGGGCGGGGCTTGCTTGCTAAGGGTGGGTGAAAGCTCGACGACGATTGGTGGGTCAGTGCCACGCCCCGCCGCCATTGGCTGGCGGTTGCTATGGGCGGGATTTAGTTGCTAAGGGCCTGTAAAGGAGCAGCAGCGATTGGCTGTTGGTTGCTAAGGGCGGGACTCAGTTTCTAAGAGGCGATGAATGGACTCCTCCGATTGGTCATCGGTTGTCAAGGGCGGGACTCGGTTGCTAAGGGAGGATAAAGGAGCGGTTCTGATTGGCTGGGCCGTACCATGCCGGCCCCCGATTGGCCGGTTGTGGCGGTGGGCGTGGTCTCGGTGCCGCGGGCGCGGCCGTGGCGGGTCCGGGATCGGGATTTGGGGCGAATTGGGGGGATTTTGGGGTCTCGGGGGGTCCCGGGGCCCGGGGGGGGCCATGGAGTTCCCCTTCGAGCTCGGGCCGGTGCTCGGGGAGCGATTCTGTGTCGTGGATCAAAACCTGCGGCCCGCGGGGCGCGGGGGGGGCGGACACAGGTACGGGGGGGTTAAACTGGGGTTGGAATGGGGTTAAACTGGGGTTAGACCGGGGTTGGACTGGGGCTAAACTGGGGCTGGAATGGGGTTAGACTGGGGTTGGACTGGGGTTAAACTGGAGTTGGAATGGCGTTAAACTGGGTTTAGACTGGGGTTGGATTGGGGTTAGACTGGGGTTGGACACTGGGGTTAGACTGGGGTTGGACTGGGGTTGGA